GTAACAGCCCCAGGTGTGGTTGCATGCCCATACTTCACCTCGTGCCAAACGGTGCTGCTTCTTCTGGACTGCATGGTGTAACCCAGTCGATGATGCTGTTTTCAACTCTTGGGCTGTTACGGTGAGAGCTGGTTGTTTCCCAGGGCTGTGTCTTGAGAAGGGGGTCCAGGGAAAATCCTGTGTACTGTAGGAAAGCAGCATGCTGGAGATCATAAAATCATTTAGGTTGGAAAAAACCCTAAGATCGAGTCCAGCCATTAACCTAACATTACCAAGTCCACCACTAAACCATCTCCCTAACAGAGATGTTCCCGTGTGTGATGGGACAGTTCCTGTATCTCTTGGGTGAAATGGGGGTGTTTCATCATTGTGTTGTATGCGGTGCTGGACCACCAGTTTGCCCAGCTGGTATAAACTGATGCCATCAAAGCAGATATGAACCACACCATCCATGGGCCCTCTGAGACAGGCTGGAGCTTGGTGCTTGCAGAAGCAACGCCACGCGTCCCAGCTCTACCCTTCTAGCTGCTTGTGGGGGTTGATACAGCTTAGTGGTCACAGCAGCAGCTCGGAGGATGCAGCCAATGTGGGGTGGACCTCCTGTGCCTGATTATGCTGGGCTCAGCAGGGCTGGGAACTGCAGAGGATCTGGGCTGTTGCTTTCCACTAATGACCTCCTGAACTGCCTGTGAACGCACCGAGGTGGGACTGACACAAGGACGCCCTCCTGCCCACTCCACATCCAGCTTGTGTCTCACTTGAATGTATATGTATCTCTTTTTCTTTCTAACGCTGTCTTAGACTGATTTTTCTTGCCATTCTGAATCCCCTGGAGAGGTGTTAGATCACCAATTTCTAAGCATGAAACATTTTGTTGCTAATAGAGACGTCGGTATCCATTTTCTTATGTTTGTTGGAAGATTTAATTCCATTTTCCAATCCCAGGGGCAATTTTGCATTCTGATATTTGTTCAATAATTGCATAAAAAATACAAAAATGCTATCTTTGAATAGTTTTGAGCAACATCCTTTTCCAGGCAGCCTGACGAAACCCTGGTCAGAAATTCAATGTCTTTCAGAAAATTCTTTGGGGAGAGACTGTCTGGAGCCTGTAGATGCCAAGCAGAAGCTATCACAGCCAAACTGACAGACTTAGGAGAAATGAGTCTCAGGACCGGAGTGTCAGATGTGCAGGTCAGAGATGAGATGGTCATGCAAGGAAGCCTGGCAGCAGGATGCAGCAAACTCTTCAGCTGATGGTGAAGAGTATAAATGAGAGGCAGTGTGGGATGCAAAGGCAACAGCTGCCCCAGAAGGTCTTGCATAGCCCCCGAAATGAGGAGAAATGTCTGCCTCGTGAGATACAGAGCAATGCAAGGTAGCAGAACCAGAACTGGGAAACAAAGACGCTTTGCACGTGCAGAAATCCCCGGTGTGGGCATTGCTGAGCATTGAAACCAGCTCTGGAGCCTCATCCCAGTGAGGAACCGTGGCTGTAGATCCATGGATCTTAGTTCAGTCCCTGCATCAGATGTCCCCTCTCGGGGATGTGCTGTTATATGTGTAGTCACAGCTGCTTCCCTTTGATAGAAGATTGCAGTAGAAATTCCTGTAAGGGAATTTTTAGAGAGTTTCTCGCTCCCCCAGGAAGCCTTGGAGCACAAGCCCATGCGCTATTCACAGCTTTCAGCTCCTCTACCCCCGGTTAGTTTTTCAAACTCTGATGGTTTCATTCTTCCGAAAGAGCCGTCGTTAATGAGTGTGTTAACGCCATTGATTTTAGTGTGAGGAGTCAGTTTGAGTTCAGATAGTGCAGGGAGATTAGTAAAGCAGTGATTAAATGCTTCGGTGATCTGCTATCGATTCTTAGATACACCCGTTTATACATTTGAGCTCTTAATTCAGCTGTAGTATGAGAGCTAAATAATTTGTTCGCCCTAGCTGGACTTTATGAAGCAAAACATTATTTATTACACCCCAGCAATCCCGACTAACACCATGGTCTGTGTCCCTTCCGCTAGCGAAGCGTTTGTTGCACGACAGCACAGAATAATACCAGTTTTAGGACCCTCACATTAATGTGTTTCAGGTTGGCTTTTATCCCTTCTGATAAATGAACTGGCTAAATTACTGTCAGCCTCCAGCTAATTATCCCTTTTAACGGAGTTTAATGGGGCACGGGTGCTGAATTCTCCTAGAAGCGGAGGATGGTGGTAATTGCTGTCAAAGTCCAGACCTGGATCTCAAGGCAATTGAAAGGTTTGATAATCTTTAAAAAGATTTTGAGCAATTTTAGAAAGCTTGGACATTTTACCCCACTGTTGATAGGCAGCAGCAACAGCACCACTTCCCAAAAGTCCCGCTGAAAGTTAATCCATTTGGGTGCTTCTATTCCTCTTAATCAAATCGATTTATTTCAGCCAAGGGAGACATCGAGGAAGCAAAAGGGAACAGTGTTTGAAGAGCAGGAGCGCTATAATATTATAAACTGGTCAAGCTGCAGCTGCTCTAATGCATCTCAGGCCACAGACAAGAGAGAAGAGAATGGGACGTGCAGATGGCCAAGAGAGAGCAAAAGGGAGTCATTTACTCCTGTGAATTTGGCTTTGGCTCCTGATGGACCCGTCTCGTTACCGCTGGGATGAAGGGAGGAATCCTGGTGCCCTGGGATGAGCTGAAGCCTGGGAGGAGTTGTGGGCAGGGATAACACATCTTCCTGGCTTGGCTTTAACATTAGCACCTGAAGTGGGAGAGCTCTTAACACCAGGTGTTTAATCTCTTAATGCCTGTCAGGAGAAAATGGCTTAACTTCATCGTTAGGACCGTGAAGGCACCTGTCCATGGGATGGACGTGGCTGGTGCAGTCGGAGAGAGCTGATGGGCATCTCCAGCAACAGACAGAGATGCCGGGCTGTGCAAAAGCAGTTGCCACCCTTTCCTTGAAAGCATTGCCCGAGGTAGTTCAACAATGATGTATGTGCTCTTAGACCAGGGCGTAGGTGTTTTCCAGCACAATGTGCTTTCCAGTGAGGCACGGGCTAAACTGGGCACAAACAGCAGCAGCATCAAGTGCAGCTTTCTGCTACTTTACCACGAATGCTGCCTTCTTGTGTTTCCT